TATCTGATGATCGACTCTTTTAAATGAAACCAGAGAGCGTTGACAGAGAGGAGAAGGTAGAAATGACTCAGCCTGATGGAGGACCTCAAGTTTAGCTTGTTAGTTTGCGCCGAGCTAACACATATAAGGCAATATAGCGTCGGCGCTAAAGCTAACAGGCTAAACTGAGGTTCTTCTTCCATGAAGCAGCTCCCCTCCTGGCTGCCTCAGGACACGACAGGATTTCTCAAACATGCATGAATAAGTCAAAGCAAAACTCTAGTTACGTTTTTGATTAGAGGATAACATTATAACTTGATACAAAACTCAAAAAAAGTTGATTTTACATGATACAGCCCCTTCAACGTTTGACTCCTCCCACAGCTGTATATGAGAGGCTGTGATTGGCCGATGAAAGGATACTGAAGAGTTTGCGGTCCTTGGATTCGGACCTCATGCGGCTGAGCTGCTGCTTGTGGCAGCGGAGGCTCCAGGGGTTGTGGCTGATCTTCTCCGAGGTCAGACCGCTGTTCCAGTCCAGCATCTGGAAGGGGACGTCTGACAGGATCTTGGGGTCCAGCCGGGGACTCTTCAGCTCTGCGAGGCTGCGGGGACAAAAGGGTCCACGGTTAATACCCAACTGCGCTTAAAGASTTTGAAAGGAGGACCGGACCCTACCTATCGGAGGGGTCCGTGTCGTGCGCCTCCCGTCGCTCGGCCCGCTCCTCCTTGTGTTCGGAGGAAGAGGAGGAGCGGTGGAGGCTGCGGCGCGAGTGCTTCCTTCGGGGCTGCTCCCTCTCCTGRGGGTCGCGGTCCTCGTGCTCCCCGGACCCCACCTCCATGTTGTCCACGTAGGGGTACGCCACCAGGTTAATGTAGCCGTCGGTGCCCACCTCAAAGCACACCAGCACCACCCCTGACAGACGCAGACACAGGAGGGAGGGGGGTCAGTCTGTCTGAAACCCTTCTTTAGCTGCTTCATTTTTTTAAGCTGTATCAGTGGTGATGCTAGCCGAAGCTACATTTCAAAGAATGGGCCTCATGTAAAAACCGTTCAAACATATTTGTTCTTAAGTTGTGCGTACGAGTGATTTAGGAGAATTTGTCATATTCACCAATTTTCTCGTATTCTAAGATTTTCTTCAGATACGAACAAAATTCACGAGTGGTCCAGACCTGTCGCATATATTAAGAGAAGTCAGTCTGCTGTTATCTAGATGGGTTTTCTTCACTAATAACTTTATATTTCATTAGTTTGAAGATATTTTGTGTTGAAAATAAATCACATTCCATAATTATGTTGACAATAGGTTATTCTGTTTCAACTGGAATTATAATTTTAAATGTAATAATGTAGACTAATGACATAAATTGGTTAAATTAAATTAAATTGGCCATTAATGCTGTTGTATAAAACTACAATAWTAATATGAAGATGTTAAACTACAAACCAACTTAAATTATGCATTAATAAATGAAAGCTATGTAACAGTTGTTTACACTTCAGTTAAAAATATTCGACCAAAGGAAAACCGGAGCAGGACTACAGAGAGATGAATATGATTTAGATCAGCGGTGCCCAAACAAGAGGGCCAAAATGAAAATGTATCCGGAGCTGCGAGCCAAATGCAGTAATATAATACATGAAATATAAATGCTTTTTAAGTAAAATCCTGTATTAAAACAATTAAGCATGCAGCCAGTGCAGTAGACAACTTTTTTTTAGTCTGAGCACTTGGAGAACATCTGCCATACGCAGAAGCAGCAAAGGTTCATGGGACATTTCATAAATTGATAAAATATGGTTTTGTGGCTTTATAAAGTGTGCAAATCTACATGTGTGCAAATCTACATGTGTGCAAATCTACGTGTGGTTGAATCTATTCTTAATATATCACGTTGTTACTTGGATTTCATGGTTTGTATTTATTCTCAATACATCAAAGATAAGTCAGGACCATGAGTGAAAACTATCTGCACTACAGCCTCTGATATAGTCATTGTGCCAATGGATGAAATGACTGAGTGGAAATACTGTGTTTCTACATATTGTAACTGCTGGTGGGCCAAATCAAATAGCTTGACAGGCCAAATTTGTCCCCACTTTGGGCTCCTCTGATTTAGATTTTTATTTCTGTGACTGTATACGACCCACAGGAGAAACGACATTAACAGCGGTCATTTCATTCCTCGGCTTTAGCAGGTCTGACGCTGCTAAAAATGACAGATTTTCTTTTCTGGATCTCTGAGAGCAGAACTTCAATCTCCGAACTCGTAAAGTTCTTCTTTTTTACTTTGTGATGTTATTTATGAATGGAAACTTCCTAGTATGTGGGGCAGGAAACGTATAGCCTTATATGGTGTTTTTAGGGTGGTAATTATGCTAATCTCCTCTCCTCGTGCACGAGCAGCTGATACACATTCATCAGTTTACGCAACTCATTTACATACTTTTCCTGAAGATAGAAGAATTTGCTTAATCTGACGTGACATGATCGTATGAGGCCCAATGTGAGTTTATAAAGAAAACGATGCAACAAAAATGAAGGAAATGCTTCCAGAGTTCGCTCCAGTTTCTGGAAGCACTTTAGTGGAAGAAGCTGTTTCCAGTTTAAATAAACAAAGTTTTATAAACAGAGTCATCTCTGAGGAAGGCTCTCGACATCTTTCATGTTTCTCCAAGTTATTTCCCAACAAATGAGCTCCAAATACAAAAATACGGTATTTAACATTTCAGCGACTCCAACCTGCAGAGAAGAGGACAAACACCACCCGATGTCGTGGAACAATAAGTGGGTAAAACAACCTTGATGGAAGCAGAAAGTTGTTCCTGAGCAGCTGTCATTTAATCAGCGGGACAATGGAGGTGGGTACAGATCCAGGACTAAATTTAGACTTGTTGTTCTGTTGTCACCAGGTCTGGAGGGAACGCAGACCCACCAGGAAGATGGCCGACAGCTCACCTCTTTTAAAWGGAACCCACGGGGATTGATTGAAAACATTAGTAAATAGTCTTAAAAATAATTATAACGTTCTCTAGGTGGGTGTTTCCACTTCTGATCGACTGAGAAATAAATAATCCCACTAAAGATTCTGATWGAGATTATTAAAGTCTGACTCCAAAACCAACCACAGCGAGGAGGAGGATGTCASTCAAGATTAGCCAGCCTTGTTTACACACCTACACACTCTTTAGCGGCGGGTAATCAATCGCACTGTGTGGGTGAACCGCTGCTCTGCAAGGCGGCTGACATTTCTTTTTTAGCTTTTCCACAGCTCTCTTAGTAGTTTTTTTTTTTTTTTTCAAACTGCTGCTCAAAGCTAACCTCCCGGCTCAGAGGTTAGATATTTTGTGTGGTCACCATCACTAAATCACAAAGCACAATGTCCTGGTTCTGAGTTTGGAAATRATTGGCCCGGTTAACATTTTGAAGCACGGTCCGATCTCGGGGCGTCACATTTCTTGGTGTTCATGGTATGTCGGCGCTACATATTCAGACTGGTGTGTCATTGTATAAACCCACCAAATCACAAAGACGACAGCATTCCACCGGCGTTTTATTGTGAAAACTCAACTTTAAAGCCTCAAACATTCATAAACGAACGTTATTTATCTGCCGTAAAACGTTTTCTGTTTACACATTTTGGAAACGATGAGGAGTGTTTAAACTGGCAGCCGACGTCTGTTTGTGTGCGACGTTACTACAGCAAAAGATAGTGAAAACAGCTACAGCGCTGTGATGAAGAGCAGAGCAGCTACAGAACTGTTCCTCCATTAAAAGCTGCAGTTCCTTCCTTTTGTTCTGTCAATCTTCTGTCCGACACACAACGCCTGAAATACTGGATCACAASAAACAACTGTCTTTTGTGATGGAAGTTTGTGAATCAGTTCCTGTGTCACAAACAAATCTGTGTCAGGAGGATCTGTTTTTCTGTGCACCTTTATTTCATTTTTAAAAGTAGATTTTTTATTAAAATACAAATACAAACTAGAGAATTTGCATTTACTGCAAAAATGCTGTGTGATTGTGTAAACCCCAATTTACATTACTTGCGTTCCGTCTCCACTCCGCTCCGACCTCCGCAGCAAATACACACCCATTATGATCAATGAGTGTTTACATTGGCTGCACACGGCGGTGCAGGGCGGCGGTGAGCGGACGGCGATCCGTCAAAATTAAAACGATCCTATTTTTGCCTGATGCCGGAGCGGCGCCGGAGTCAATTTTTGAAGATTACGTCACACCAACAGGAAAAGACACGAGCACAACATCCGTATTTTCAAAATAAGACACTATACTGTGGAATAATTTGTCGGAATAATGTCGAAATTGCAGCCATATTAGGGCTGTGTATTGGCAAGAATTTGGCGATACGATACATATCATGACAGAGGGGTCACGATACGATATAT